TATTCCATAGGGAGGTGCCTCAGAATTTCTACTATTGGCATAATGTTTTAATTCTTTTGGTAAGATTTATATCAACAGTCTTCATTCTTAATCTTAATTACATTTGAATACCAAAATCTATGTTTTACCTCTAACTGTAGCAGAAAGGTTTACCTAATTTACAAATACATCTGATTATTAAAAACATATATGAAATTCAGATGGAAATTTTAATTGATTTTTTGTTTCTTTAAAATATAAACGTTTTGAGTCCAGACATCTAAAAATAGATAAACCAGAAAGTTCAGCAAAAAGAATAAAAGGTAAAGAAAATGACTGAACAACTGGTTTCAGAATAAACTAGGGGTGTTTAATATAAATACCTGAGCTAATGCTTCATATATATTTAAAGAATGGAAAATAATAACCTGATCCAAATTCTCAAAGAACAGAAATATTAAAAAGTGAAATCTTTTGTCACTCGTAATTGACTCATTCCCATATCTGCCTCCATATTGAAACATTCAATAATTTCTATTAATTCTGTATTTATCTTATATTCAATAATCACCTTCAGGAAATTACCCTCATGATCTTTGCAATACACTAGCAACTTCTCTCTCACCTCTATCACCCAATTCTTAAATTCCAAAAATTGTTGCCAAGCTATTACTCTTTTGTAAATGCATGTATCTGTTATTCAGTGAATAAATCTTTATTTACTATTCCAAAGCATTAGCACTTTGATAAGATTTAGATATTCAATCTTAATTGGTTTAAAGCTTCTAGCCATCCCCCACCTACTCCTACCCACTTCTAATGCTCCTTTATGCCAACTCTGGGTAGATGTTATCATGTTTTAATTCCTGTCCTTAAAGTTTCTAATTAGCAAAGTCTTGCATGGCATTTGAATGCTGCTGATTAACATCTAAGAGAATATCCCCATAACATCCCCATTGTGTATTAAATCAATTCAGTTTTTGATAAATTAATTTTTCCCGTATTTTACAGAAATCAGTCATTTTTCCATATTAATTTCATTTCAGAGAGAACAACATAATTGTCATTCATCTCCCTGTAGAAGCTACTAATTTCTAAAGTGGTTTAAATCTGCTGAAAGTCAACTCACTACTAGAAAGTAAATTAAAATTGACAAACAGACATACAACACTAGGGTTGCTGGGGAAGAGTTAGATCATTGGACTATAAAAAGAAATGTGTATGTTCCCAAAATCAAAACCTCTCTCCTGCAAAATATTGTTCTTTCATTCCCTTTGTGCCACAGTTATTACGTTGTAGAAAAGCAAGTTGATAGAAGTCTCTTTCTCTTGCATTTTTATACCGACCAATCTTCAGTTTCCTCCTTGTCGAAAGTCATCAGCTTGGTAACATTGTCAGCTTTCTCTGCCCTGGGATTATAGAATCAATGGGATTCTCAGGTGGCAATCACTTTAGCAATCACCTGAGCCCTATTTTCTACATAAAGACATTGAGGTTCATGTAGGGGTTCCTTTGAGGTCACCCATCTAGTCACTTTAAAAGCAGGAATGGTATAAAGGTTCATTCTTCTAGTTTACTTGTGCTATTTCTAATCAAGTCTGTGTTTCTCTTTATGTTTTCTTTTATGTGTTTGCTTTGCTCACACAGGTAAAATGACTGCTTTAATGGTAATGTAGCATCCTCATGTCTGCACCATCCATCCCCATGTCTGCATCATCCATCCCCTTTCTCCCACAGCTGCTGCTGAGCGAGGCTGCCCTAGGCTCCAGCTTATTGGATTCGAGAGGAGCAGCTGACTCCCACAGAATCAGTCACAATCTTTGTCCTGTGAATTAGAAAGTGTGAGATGGGGCTTCTAAAGCATACCAATTCACAGGCCCTCCTAGAGGTCAATTAAAGCAGAAATATTGGGGAGAGGCCCACACTGTTTAAACCCCCAGTTGTTTCTAATGGTTAGAACTGAGAACCACTGATTCCTTTCATAGTTTTCTTATACCTCTTTTCATAGGCTAATTTCTGGGTGCATATATGTGAATTTGTATGTATATTCATATTATGTATATATATGTGTGTGGCTCCATTCATATACATTATCCTGAAAACATAATCTTTGGCTCTTACCCTGATTTCTATAACTCTATCGTATTTTTCTCTAACTTGAATGAACAATTTTGATTTAGTGTTCATGCAGCACTAGTCTTCAATAATCTCCTTTCTACCGTATTATTCCATATGATATTTAGTCGTGTGTCAGCTGAACATTAACTACAAAAAACATCTATTTGTCTGTTGCATAAAACATGATTAGAATTCCAAACAGTAAATTAGCCCTTAAAATAACGCATGAGTAATTTATCATGTATAACACTCTTCTGATAAAAATATATCTATATAAAATGATAAACACCATTATTTTGATTAATGGGTTAAATTGACCTTTTCTTTTAATTCACTTTTTCATATTACATTTATTAAAAAATACTACAGAATTTAATTAATGTTTAACATTGAAAATTGTGTTTGGTAATTGGCTTAATTTTTTTACTAATTGGTTACATATTAAATCCTCATTTTCGTAGAACACAGCTCATTATCAAGAATAATAATTCTAGTCAAGAAAATATTCATCACTTTATTGGAGTTTTTCTTCCTAACAATAAGAAAAAGGTTCATTTTTATTCAATTGATATTCAATCAATAGTTAGGTATATTAACCTTAATCAGGCAAACTTCTTACCATCTCTAGCTTATGGTTTATAGATATAGTTAACCAAGTATGTGTGTGGGTGGGTGGGTGGGTGGGTGGGTATTGTTTGCGTATATATATATATATATATATATATATATATGTATACACACCCACCCACCCACACACACACACATACATATGTATTTACCCAAGTATTGTGTTTAAACAGAGTTAATAACCATCCATAAATGCCTATTGTTTAATTGCTTAATAATTGCATTACTGGCTCAAAGTTATATGCATGACAAAGCACCTTGTTATGTGCTGTTTTTTATACTAATGTATAGATGTAACCAAAGCCTGTGGTGATGAGGAATACATTCCTTGCTGAAGCGACATATTAATTCAAACACCAAGTATTCAAATTTTTGTACAAGTGTTTGCCTATTCATAGCCTAGCTAAAAGTTGACCTAAAATTTCATGCTGTCAGAGGCATGTTCATCCTAAGGGGACAATTTTCGGTTTTTATAAGCCTCTCTCTATGTACACAAATGATGCATTTCAGTCTGTTATTATTGTCAGCCTCATATTAGTTGACTTAAACAATAAACCAATAATCTTTTAAAATACCATAAATTCATATTTTTCAATGACAAATATACTTTCCTAAGTTTACATTTATTTGTGAGGCTTCTTATATTTTAATAAAAGCATTTGTTGCAAACTTATCACATCTTTTAAAACATGGTTAAAATACTTTGAGAAATCTAGAAATAACTCAAAAATAATTAATATTTCTATAGTCAATATATTTGAAAAAAGTTTGGAAAACATTTTCCCTCTGGAATTTAGAAATAACTGTTAAGAAATAAAATAACTAATATGCATATCCCTAAATAAAATGGCAATTTCCTTATATTTAATAGAATATCCATGTGCATGCATTTCTTCCTTTTTTATTAGAAACAAATAAAAATAGTAATATGACCACACCAGACAGGTAATATACTACATATTTGCTTAACTGTCCATGAGGAAAAAAGATTTTGTATCTGCCTAGTCAATGCAAAATGAACACCATTGTTATGGTGGTCCATAACAGTATTAAATATTACGACAGTATTTTTTTGAAACAAATGACTTCTTTTCTTCCTTGTTTGATACATCGTATGGTCCAATAATACCTGTTTTCGACAATTGTGTATGTTAAATCTTATGAGCAAGGAAGAAGTAGCATAGACTGACTTACGTGGAGGCGAGGATTTTGGTATTTTTATCTTTCGGAGGAGTCATAATGAGTACACCTGTGCATTTGGAAATAATCACTGGTGGTAGTTACACAATGGGCTAAAATAAATTGGCAGAGAGTAAGCCTCACATAACCACACAGAAGTAACCAAAGGTCATATTCCATTTGCTTGTCTGATTCAAGTAGAGTTCTTTAGACATTTGCATTAAGAATCATCAATAAATCTTATCTTTATTCAACTCTTTTTAATCCTTATATGAAACATAAGAAAAAAAAGTAAATGGAACCATATTTTAAAACTCCTTTTTGGCTGTGGAATGTAACACAGTTGCAGACAAATTCCTCCCAAAAGTACAGGTTAATGAATTATCCCTAAGTGAACAGCCAGATAAACTCTATGTCAAGAAATAGAGCATCTGTAATGCTGAGACGCCTCCATTGTGCCCCTTCTCATCTCTATTCTTCCCTAAAAGGTAATCTTCCTCCTGACTTTGGAAAATAGGTGACTTGCTTTCTCTTGTAGTTTTACCACTAAAGCATATGCCTATGAACACTGTTATAGTTTTGTCTAGTTTTGAAGAATATATAAATGGAATTATAAGAATGTATTCTCTTGTCTGATTTCTTTCACACAACAATATTTTTGATATTCCCCTATGGTGTTTGAGTCAAGGTAATTCATTCATTTTCACTATAATGCTATTGCATTGTATGATTGTGCTATAATATCTTTATCTATTTTAATGTCGATGGACATTAGATTATTTATCTTTTGGAACTACCACAGATAATGCTGCTGTGAACATTTTCGTAATGTCTCTTGGTATACAAGTGGACACATTTTCTTGGGTATATTTGGAGGAGTAGAATTGGTAGGTCAGAAAGTGTGTATTTATTCAACTTGAGTAGTTGATGCTAAACTGGCTTTTTAAATTAAGAAAACTGGCTTTCAGAATGGTTGTACTAATTTACACATTCCATTTTTTACCTGAAACAAATAGACAAATACCTCAGTTCCAAAGATGTCCCTGTCCCACAAGACTAAAACAGACACACTTACACATTCATTTCATTCCCAAAAGGAGGCATTTGATGGTAACTTCCAGAAACTACATCCAAAGTTGATATCATGCGGTGACTTTTCTCAGAGTCCATGATTTCCAAGAGATGTTGATGACTCCTCCAGTTCTTCTAAAATCCACAAAGGCCGCCCTGTGAGACCCAGCACAACGTTTTCTAAAGAAGACTCGAATACTGACCACTTACCTTGGGCAAGAAGACTTGACCTTTGCGAGGTTGTTCTGTGCTGAAGAGCCTGCTGAGGGGAGAAGCGTGAGAGGGAGACAGCCTCTCAGACCGGATGGAGACAGTAGGAACGTGGGAGAATACATACAGACATAGTGATTAAGAAATCTATTTAAGCTGTTATGTCAGTATTTACAATTGAAATTTGATAGTTCAATTTTCTGTTGTTGTCAAAGTACATATACTGTAAGTTAAAGGGAGCTGAATGAAAATTCATGAATAAACATTTTGAGTTTCCCTAAAAAATGTATTTGGTAGAATGACAGGTTGTTGAGTCAGCCTTTTTGTTGGGGGCCCTCAAATTTCAGTATGATTCTGGTTTTTTTGTTTGTTTGTTTCCATGTGCCATTTAGTTCCTTGCCAAATAATTTTCCAGTTCACTTCCCGGGTATGTGTTGGTTGGATGGTGAGTTTAGATCAGTTATTAGCAATGGGGACTTATGCCTGGCTGCCAGGATTCTAATAGGAGGTGAGGGAAAGACACACTAACATGCTGCAGTTCAAAATGTAGCTGTTTAGTTCATCTCTCTGTTTTTTCAACTCTGCCCTGAAGTCTGCCATCAGCTGAGCCAATGACCATGAGTCTGAAGCCTCTCTCGCTCAAATTCCTCCAAGAGAAGGCAGAGCCCTCGGCTTCCCTTGCCCCATACGCATTTATATTATCATTTCTATTCTTTTAAGCCAGTTATTGCTTCTCCGTATGCTTTCTTCCATCAGCAGTGGAAATAATTTGTGGGCTGTTTTCTGTTTTCTTATTTTCTACCCTGGGGTTTATAACAAGTTCACATCACTTTGGTGGAACCTGGGAAGAGAGATGAGGTAAATTGATGTAGGCATTGAGCCGTGTTTAACCATAAGTATGATTGTTAACCGTGTTAGACAGGCTGTAACTTCCATGAAAAGAAGATGGCTACCTTATTCACAGTTCCACACCCCTGTCTAGCACAGTGCCAGGCACATAATTAGTATTCATTAAACATGTGTTGAATAAATCAACAAAGGAATCTTCAAAAAGAAATACCTATGCAATATTTAGATATCTGTTTAACAGAGTCATGTGTTTCCAGTACAAAAGATGGAAAATGCAGACATAGGATGGGAAGCAGGTCAGACTTTTCTGTTGATCTGGCTAGGTGGCATGGACAGACAGACAACTGCCATTTACAATTCACTTCCATTAGCCTTACTCTTAGTTGACTTACCATATTTGGCAGGCTGTTTTCACTTAACTCTTTCCAAGAAATAATTCTTTATCTACTTCTAGGGTATATAGTTCATATTCCTTTGTCACTGGTAAGTATTTTGAAGTGATTCTGTCTCTCTATCTTGAAAAAATGGAAAGTCAAAAGAGTATTTTTCTATTTGTGATTCTTAAATGTATCATGGTGAATTAAGAAATCACCCTCCAATTCCTCAAAAAACTCAAAATAGAAATACCATATGACCCAGCTATCCCACTACTGGGTATCTACCCAAACAACTTGAAATCAACAATCCAAAGTAACATATGCACCCTATGTTCACTGCAGCACTATTCACAATAGCCAAGACATGGAAACAATCCAAGTGCTCATTGACTGATGATTGGATAAAGAAGATATGGTATATATATATATATATATATATATATATATATACACAAAACTGAATACTACTCAGCCATAAAAAAGACAAAATCATCCCATTTGCAACAACATGGATGGACCTGGAGGGTATTATGCTAAGCAAAATAAGCAGACAAAGACAAACACCATATGATTTCACTCATATGTGGACTATAAACAAACAATGAACAAAGAAAACAGTTCAGTGGTTACCAGGGTCAGGGGGTTGGGGGTGGGCACAGGGGGTGAAGGAGTGCACCTATGTGGTGACAGACAAGAAAACAATGTCCAACTGAAATTTCACAATGAGGTAAACTATCATGAACTCAATTAAAAAAACGAAAGGAAAAGAAATCACCCTCCATATGCCCTGGCTCTGTAAAATCTGGTCAGCTCAATTCTTAGAAGATAGTTAGACATCTTTTATTCGAACAAATCTATAGACAGGTAACTGTATACTCTCATTCTCAAAAAAAACACTCAGGTGGTTGTGAAATACCTTGAGAGAGAATGTAGAAAGCAGAAACAGGTCTGAGTATTCCTCTTGTCCCTCTCTAAAAATGAGAATTTCTTAGCATCTTTTAATCTGGCGCTTTTATGAGAACATTGGTATGATGAACGTGCACTTAGAAAAGGTAAGTTAGATTACTTTATTTTCTATTGTTTTGAAAGAACTTCTGAATTCTAATTTGATTTAGGCCTTTTGACTATTGTCCATATAACCTGGTGTGACTTATAGAATCTGCCTTTGTAAGTATGTGCTTATTAGTATATGTTTGATACATCAAAGCATTTATAAGAGCAGGCAAAAATTCTTCAGAGTAATTATACCCTTCCTAAGTATTTTCCTCCAGGGAAGGTTATCAGTTTGGGAGTAAAAGTAAAACAATTATAAATATTACATATGTTTACAAATGAAAATACCTCAGGAGCAGAAACTTTATTGGCGTCTGTGTAATGAATTGGTACAGTGTTACATAGGCCTATGTACTCTTATTGCCTGAGGAATCCCAAATTTCCCTTTCGCTTAGCATCTATGTACTCCAATTTAAAGTTCAATTCCTTATATAAAGGAAAGAAAATAAAACAGTGCCAAGGCCATGATGTGTCTATTTTGTTTCTCAAGATTCTACTTAGGTGCCCAGATGTAGGGGACACAGTCTATAGATAGCCCATAGCTTTTGATGTATTCATAGGACCAAAATTAGCATTGCTACCATCCTGTGACTATGGCCACATTCTTAATGACTTTTGCAATGCTTATGGATAAAACCAGTTCTCAATTATCACTCTGGTAATTGAGGCTGCATTGTTAGCATAAGTGAAAACCATGGGAGGCCCAAAACTTCACTGTGGCAGAGAACCCCAAAGCCTCCTCACTCTGTCCTTTCTCTTATAACTTGACCTTTATTTTATTTCAAAACCTTCTTGTGATTTGAGCAAATTCCTGTGTGCCTGGGAAAGATCTCATGAATACACATTAATTTACCACCATCTTATTATCTATCCTTTTTCCCATTCTGAGCTATTAGCCCTTTTCTTCCTTTTTGCTTTCCATGATACAAGCTTTGCTCACACTCCTATACCCGCCTTTTCCTTATATTATCCCTAATAAAGAACAATCCTTAAGTATGTAGAACTGACATTCTGGATGGTAGATACCAAGGCTGCATTTGTGTTTAACTTGTGCTCTGTGTACAGACTAAACCCTACAAAGGCAGGAGCTTTGTTTAGCCTGATAAATGAGGTATTGTCACAGCCTAGCTCAGTGTATAGCACATAGTAGGCATTAGTACATATTTGTTGTGTGAATGAATGAAATTGTTTGTGATTTCATTACAATTTGAACTTCTGAATAACCAGGGCTGTTTCTTTAGTCCAGCTACTAAGGGGTGTGTCTGAGAATTGCACAGAATCTGATTCATATTGCATTATGGGAGGAAATAATTTACTATGTTTATCATTGCCCTTAGCAGCAATAATCACAAAAATGCTTGTAAACGCTCAATTGTCCATGGAGATGTATGTTGTGGTTGGTTTCTGAAAAGAAGGAAAAACACAAAATTTAGACAGTTTGACAGACCCCTCTTATGTAGACTCAGACATTGCTAGACCAGATGAAAAGTAGAATTGGGGCCATTTTGATGTCAAAATTAGGAAAAATAAAATTTTCTATTGTTGTGGCACAAAACAACTTCATTTCTCTTAAATAAGACCATTTTATTTAAAAGTTTCCAGAACATTTTTTATGTGTAATTAGTTGTCCAACTACTAAAAAGAGGATTGAAAAAAACCAACTAAAACAGAGATGGTCAGCAAATTTTATGCACACAACATAGTCTTGCTATAGTTTTTAGAAATCTCTATACATAAATAATAACCATTAGTAAATTAGTAATTAAGAGCCTTTTGATAATAAAAGATAATTAATAGCTTGAAAAAGTCTATTCTTACTGATTTTTGGGAAAGAAATGTTTCACGTGTCGTTACCATGTATTTGGGAAATTCAAGCATATAAACTCTAAGTGGCAATAACGTCCTGCATAGAACAAGGAGAGACATCTGTGTTTTTTTTAAAGATCATTATAATTGACAATATATGTGCTGGCATCATTCTAATTATTTGAGTTTGCTAATAATTGTTCTCCACATAATAGTAGCACAAGTTCAACCTTAAGATGCATATGTTTTGCTAATGTTAAGATTAGCTGATTAATATTGATGGCAGCTAAGGCCAGTGGCTAATGTCTGACATCTGTTTGGGAAATCAGTGTTTCAATTCAGGAAGCTGGCATTTCTGTCGGGGTTAGAATGAGGGGTTATTGTGTAAGGAATTATGATTAGGGTTTTGTGTATGGTTAAGGTTAGGCATAGGACATGATCTATTTCATTTCTGTTCATCTCAGTGTATTTCCACTGGCAAGTTGCTTGCTCAATTCTGTGTTAACAGAGAGGTCTTCCCCTCTGTTCCCCCGTGGCACGTTCACTGTGGCACTTTATTTCACTCGCTACTTCCATGTTAATGGACTGATTGATCTCTTTTTCTTCTGTATTAGTCCTTACCTTGTCCTTAAACAATCTTTTCATTTGGGACACAGGAATTTCTTTTTGTTCCATTTGTTTTTTGTATGTCACATAGACACGTGCACTGATTTAAAGTTGGGGGTTAATTCTTATATCATCCTTTCCCAGATGTCAACCTCAATCTTGATAGCAAAAGCACATCAAAGGGCATTTTAGTTTTGGGAGGGAAAGGTAAAATTATACAGATTTGTTCCAAAACTGTCTGGAATATTTTTGAATCAAAAACTGTAAACCAAAAAGAAAATAAATATTATAAAGTCTTTGACATTTTTTAGACATAAGAGATTATTTCTCTTATTTTTCTTCCTCTAGTGGGCTTCAGTTGGCTTCAAGTTGGTGCAGAAGAAATAAAAAGTAGAGTGTGCACACAGCTTATACAAAGGAAGCAATGAAAACTTTGTAACCTACTTATTACAACAAACAGGGTAATAGTAAATTGAAGTAGCTACAAAGATTCGGAAAATGGATCAACTGGAAAAGCAAAGAATATTGGGACCTTTCAGTGTATTGAACAAAAGCTCAATTAAAATCTCTTCTTTTTACTT